CAGCCCCACGGAGCCCCCCAGGGCTCTGCCCCACAGATCCGGGGGGAGGGGAGGGGACCCCAAACTCTGGGAATGGGGGGGAGCCCCCTGTGGGGGCTGTGCCAGAGGGGCTGGATCGATACTGGATCAATACTGGATTGATACTGGATCGATACTGGATCGATACTGGATCGATACTGGATCGATACTGGATTGATACTGGATCGATACTGGATCGATACTGGATCGATTCTGGATCGATACTGGATTGATACTGGATCGATACTGGATTGATTCTGGATCGATACTGGATCGATACTGGATCGATACTGGATCGATACTGGATCAATACTGGATCGATACTGGATCGATACTGGATCGATACTGGGTCAATACTGGATCGATTCTGGATCGATACTGGATTGATACTGGATCGATTCTGGATCGATACTGGATTGATACTGGGTCAATACTGGATCGATTCTGGATCGATACTGGATCGATACTGGATCGATTCTGGATCGATACTGGATTGATACTGGGTCAATACTGGATCGATACTGGACAGATCAATACTGGATCAATACTGGACAGATCAATATTGGATCAATCCCGGATCAATACTGGGTGGAGACTGGATTGATACTGGGTCAATACTGGATCAATACTGGATCGATACTGGACAGATCAATACTGGATCAATACTGGGTGGAGACTGGATCAATAGTGGATCAATACCGGATCAATAGTGGATCAATAGCGGATCAATACCGGAGGATTTGGACCCAGTGTTTGAGTTGGGGCCGTTTTGTTCCTTCTCCAGCCTGAGCAGGATCCCTGTGCTCCTGAATTCCTGAATTCCCGAATTCCCAAATTCCCAAATTCCTGATCCATTCCCATTCCCGTTCCCCCATTCCCGTTCCCCCATTCCCGTTCCCATTCCCGTTCCCATTCCTGATCCCCCATTCCCATTCCCATTCCCATTCCCCCATTCCCGTTCCCATTCCCGTTCCCGTTCCCATTCCCATTCCCATTCCCGTTCCCGTTCCCATTCCCATTCCCATTCCCATTCCCGTTCCCGTTCCCATTCCCACTCCTGTTCCCATTCCCATTCCCATTCCCGTTCCCATTCCCGTTCCCATTCCCGTTCCCATTCCCGTTCCCGTTCCCATTCCCCCATTCCCATTCCCATTCCCATTCCCCCGTTCCCATTCCCATTCCCATTCCCGTTCCCATTCCCGTTCCCATTCCCGTTCCCCCGTTCCCATTCCCGTTCCCGTTCCCATTCCCCCATTCCCATTCCCGTTCCCATTCCCGTTCCCATTCCCGTTCCCATTCCCGTTCCCATTCCCATTCCCGTTCCCATTCCTGTTCCCATTCCCATTCCCATTCCCCCATTCCCATTCCCGTTCCCGTTCCCATTCCCGTTCCCATTCCCGTTCCCGTTCCCGTTCCCGTTCCCGTTCCCGGCTCCGGGCCGGGATCCCATCCCGAGCCCATCCCCCACCGGAGAATTCCGCGGTTCCATCCCAAACGGATCCAAACCAGGATCGGTGCCCGATCAATGCCGGGCTGGTGCCGGATCAATACGGCTCAATACAGACCAATACAGACCAATACAAATCAATACAGACCAATACAGACCAATACAAATCAATACAGACCAATACAGATCAATACAAATCAATACAGTTCAATACAGACCAATACAAATCAATACAGTTCAATACAGACCAATACAAATCAATACAGATCAATACAAATCAGTACGGATCACTGCCAGATCAATACACATCAATACTGGGACTGATACCTGATCAATACCGGGACCGATCCCGGATCAATGCCTGATCAATACCGGGACCGATCCCGGATCAATGCCTGATCAATACCGGGACCGATCCCAGATCAATGACTGATAATACTGGGACCGATACCTGATCAATGCCTGATCAATACCGGGACCGATCCTGGATCAATGCCTGATCAATACCGGGACCGATCCCAGATTAATGTCAGATCAATACCGGGACTGATCCCGGATCAATGCCTGATAATACTGGGACCAATGCCTGATCAATACTGGGACTGATCCTGGATCAATGCCAGTTCAATACTGGGACCAATCCCCAATCAATACCGGGACCGATACCAGATCAATGTCAGATCAATACTGGGACCAATACCCGATCAATACCTGATCAATACCAGATCAATGTCAGATCAATACTGGGCTGATCCTGGGTCAATGTCAGATCAATACCGGGACCAATACCCAATCAATACCTGATCAATACCAGATCAATGTCAGATCAATACCGGGACCGATCCCAGATTAATGTCAGATCAATACCAGGACCAATACCTGATCAATACCTGATCAATGTCAGATCAATACCAGGACTGATACTCGATCGATACCTGATCAATGTCAGATCAATACCTGATCAATGTCAGATCAATACCAGGACTGATTCTCGATCGATACCCGATCAATGTCAGATCAATACCGGGTCAATGTCAGATCAATACTGGGACTGATACTCGATCGATACCTGATCAATGTCAGATCAATACCGGGACTGATACTCAATCGATACCTGATCAATGTCAGATCAATACCTGATCAATGTCAGATCAATACCGGGACTGATACTCGATCGATACCTGATCAATGTCAGATCAATACCTGATCAATGTCAGATCAATACCGGGTCAATGTCAGATCAATACCGGGACTGATACTCGATCGATACCTGATCAATGTCAGATCAATACCGGGTCAATGTCAGATCAATACTGGGACTGATACTCGATCGATACCTGATCAATGTCAGATCAATACCGGGTCAATGTCAGATCAATACTGGGACTGATACTCGATCGATACCTGATCAATGTCAGATCAATACCGGGTCAATGTCAGATCAATACCGGGCTGATCCTGCCCCAATAGAGGATCAATGCCCAGAGCTGTGGCTGGAGCTGTGTCCAGTTCAGTGTCCAGTGTCCAGTTCAGTCCAGTGCAGTGTCCAGTCCAGTGTCCAGTGTCCAGTGTCCAGTGTCCAGTGTCCAGTGTCCAGTTCAGTCCAGTGTCCACTCCAGTGTCCAGTTCAGTGTCCAGTGCAGTGTCCAGTGTCCAGTGTCCGGTGTCCAGTGCAGTGTCCAGCCCAGTGTCCAGTCCAGTGTCCAGTCCAGTGTCCAGTCCAGTGTCCAGCTCCATGTCCAGCTCCATGTCCAGTCCAGTGTCCAGCACCATGTCCAGCTCCGTGTCCAGTTTAGTGTCCAGTTCAGTGTCCAGTGTCCAGTGTCCAGCACCGTGTCCAGCTCCATGTCCAGTTCAGTGTCCAGTTCAGTGTCCAGTGTCCAGCACCGTGTCTATCTCTGTGTCCGGTGCCGTGTCCAGCTCCGTGTCCAGTCCAATGTCCAGTCCAATGTCCAGTCCAGTGTCCAGTCCAGTGTCCAGCTCCATGTCCAGTCCAGTGTCCAGCTCTGTGTCCAGCCCAGTGTCCAGCTCCATGTCCAGCTCTGTGTCCAGCTCTGTGTCCAGTCCAGTGTCCAGTTCAGTGTCCAGTGTCCAGCACTGTGTCTATCTCTGTGTCCGGTGCCGTGTCCAGTCCAGTGTCCAGCTCCGTGTCCAGCTCCGTGTCCAGTCCAGTGTCCAGCTCCCATATCCAGCTCCGTGTCCAGCCCAGTGTCCAGTTCAGTGTCCAGTTCAGTGTCCAGTTCAGTGTCCAGTGTCCAGCACCGTGTCTATCTCTGTGTCCAGTCCAGTGTCCAGCTCCGTGTCCAGCCCAGTGTCCAGTTCGGTGTCCGGCGCCGCGGCCGTGCCGGGGTCAGAGGTCAGCGAGCCCCACGCGCAGGCGCAAGGCCACGGGCAGGTGGTCACTCAGTGTGGCCAGCTGGGTGATGACCGAGAACCCGGTGACCTCCTGTGGGGACAGAGGGGTCAGGGTGGGGTCACCGGGGTCACTGGGGGGTCACCGGGGTCACTGGGGGTCACTGGGGTCACTGAGGGGTCACTGGGGTCACTGTGGGGTCACTGTGGGGTCACCGTGGTCACTCACAGTGGGCAGTGCCGGGTCCCAGGGGTCACTG